ATAATAATCTCATCCTAGAAGTTGCATCATCGTTGGTGGTTGTTTGAAGAAGATGAACCCCTGCCGGATATTTCATTCCTCCGTAGGCGGAAACTGACGGCTATTTCGAAATTCCCGCTTTCTGTTCCTTTTTTCATCTCGATGCAATGTCCCATTTTCGGCCTACCCAATCCGAAGGCCCAGTTTTCAAATCTCCCTACCACGTTCCTAGCAGCATTATCTGCCGCATTACAGATTGACTTAATTACCATGATGTGATTGGCCACGCTAAATAAGCTGGTAGTCATGGAGATTCGGAGGCCGTCCCGACACGGAAACCATCCAGACCGAACTTATCAACGGGCCTACAAGGCCTGTATATCCTGCCGGCAACGGAAGGCTAAGTGTGACCTGGGGACGGGACCGGATGGACTTCCTCTTGGTCCTCCTTGTGCGAAATGTCGCAGGGAACAGAAACCGTGTGTGTTCGACGAGAAGAGGGCCTGGGAGCGGGTGAAGAAGCGAGGTTAGTAGTGGGCCATGTTCAACACGCAGCTTACATTTTTATGGGCTGTCTTGGTGTTTCAGACTCAAACTCACAGCTAAGATACAGGGCGATCAGAAGATGAAGCTGAATTTTCTTCAAGGACACAGCTCAGATTGACGACCGATGCCCCACACAACGTAGTTGCTACACGCGAGGCGACCGCGCCAGCGCCTGTTCAGGGCCCTACTGTAAGCCATGGCGCCAGTCGTGCAGATGGGGCAGACAGCTCACGCCAGTCATATGATCTTGATGCCCGATCCAACAGGACTCAATCTACATCGAATCTGGCCAACTCGATGATGCGCACAGTCGTTTCCAGTGGAAATGATGCCCTCAACATTCTTTTCGAGGCCGCCACTGCACAGAGTCAGGAAGACAGTGTGATAGAATCGGACTCTTTGCCTGAAAACGAGCCGTCTCGAGCACGTCGTGCTGTCACTTGTGAAGGTTCCTCGAAGCAAATAGACCTCGCGGTTCCCCCAGAAGTCTTGAAAAAGGCCATGCGTCCGGTGGAGCTCTCACATGCGTCGAAAGACGTTTTGAGTGTTTGGGAGGCGTGCCGATTCGTCAGGATGGGCTGGTTCACAGCTAGAGAATCTGTGACGTTTATTGATCTGTTTGTGATCCTTACACAAATCCAATGTAGACTGCTGCTAACGACAGAATGGTTACAGCTTTTTCAAAAACATGTCTATACTATCTCCAGTGTTGACAGACTTCTATGCCGATCATAAGAACCACCGTTGGTTGATTGCACAGGACCCTGTTCTCTGTTGTACGATCCTGATGATATCGTCCCGATACCATGTACTCCCTGGTGCTGGCGGCCAGTCGCGGAATTTCTTTATTCATCACAGACTCTGGCAACACTGCCAGCAGCTGGTGACGAGACTCATCTTTGGGCAAGAACTTTCTTCACAGCCGAAAATTCGAAACATAGGCACCATAGAAGCGCTACTGCTCATGTCTGACTGGCATCCACGCTCGCTCCACTTTCCTCCAGAAAGTGATGGATGGGATTCCGATCTGGTAACCATAGATCTGGAGACCACAGAATGCGGAGATGAAGGGGAGACCTCGTCAGTAAAGCGATGGGCAAAAGACATGAGCGAGCCCGCTAAACGATCTGACCAGATGTCATGGATGCTCCTCGGGTCTGCATTATCTCTCGCGCATGAGTTGGGCATCTACGGGACCGGAGATAAAGCACGCGATGCTTTTGTCGCATACGAACGGTTCATGACAAAGGATCAGATGCGCCTGCGACGGCAGCGGGCGCAACGGTTGTTGTACGTATATATCAATCAGTTAGCGTGGCGGATAGGATGCGTATCGCTCATGCCGCAAGGCTTGAGCCATTCCATCCTCAATCGACAGACATCTAGAGAATTAAGCCAGTATGGGGAAGAATGGCTCACATTCATGGACTCCTGGATGGACCTGACGAAACTCGCCAAATCCGTCACTGACATGTTCTTTCCTTCTGTTGCTTTCGCACGACAGCAGCTTCAGAGTGGGCGATATATTGACCTCCTGGACCATTTTCGTCCACTACTTGACAAGTGGAAGGAGCGATATCTTCAGCCGCAACGTAAGTTATCATACATCCAGATCTTGCGGTTTTTGACAGCTAACTTCAACTTAAGTGCATGACAAACCCTTCTATGACGACATCTTCATTGAATACCACTTTGTCCGCGTTTATACACACTCTGTTGGAATGCAGGCTGTAGTTGAACGTGCGCTTGCAGATGGAAACGCCAATGAGGAAGAAGTTCGTCCCATGAACATTGACCCCATTGATTATGAATACATCCAAGAAGTTATCGACGGATGCTGCCAGATACTGGAAAAGGTCACACAGCTTGCTGAAATCGGGGCACTACGGTTCTCACCAGTTCGGATATTCGTCAGGATCACAAGCGCATCCATATTTCTGATGAAGGCACTCAGCTTGGGAACGCGTCAAGCAAAGTTCCGCGAGTCGCTGGATGTCCTTGAAAGAACCATACAAGCGTTGAGGTCAAATGCCTTGGACGATATTCACCTAAGCACACGCTATGCTACTTTGCTGGAGACTCATGTGTCGCGCTTGCGACGGAATTTACTCGCGTCATCTAAGAGTCTCAAAAGACGGCGTGGGTCAACGACACAGCACTCAATGGCGCCTCCATCATACGCAAGTGCCACAGGTGACGAGTATGCCCCACTGATAATGAATGCTCCAGTTCCCCAGAATATGTCAGATATGGGATTCACTCCGTCACTGAACGACATCGCTGCTGATGACTGGCTGTCCCTTCCATTCGACCCATCCATGGCGCCATTCAATATCAGCAGTATGGGGCAATTCCCAGCATACGAAGGCGGTGCCTTGAATTTCATATGGAATCTACCTTCTTAGGTTTATTTCTGACATACTTGTATATATTTCTCTTCTTTCTCTTATACCCCCAATTGTAGGTAGATATATTTCTATGAGGATCCGGATAATCGGGATGCCAAGTAAAGGCTTTTCGAGCCTGTATTTGACTTTTGTGATGGAAAATTTTCTCTGCTATTTCCCTTGCATGATTAAAGAGGCTCATCATTGCCTCAGATGTGAAAACTTTGACGCAAAAGGCGCGTAGAAAATAAGACGGGAGTGGCAAAGCCAGTTAGCTTTTTGTTTTTGCTCTGGTACAGTCGGGCTGCCCCGGGTTATCTGCACGTGACCTGCTCCCCGTCCGAAGTCACGTTTCCTGGCGAAAAAAAGCCAAAAGAACCTGTTGCGCTCCGCACACCTTCTCCATTGTCCACTTTTCGTCCCCAGCCATATAAGCAGCTCTTCAACTGCTGTTTCCACTACTTTTAAGCAATATCTGACGGTTTTATATTGCTGTCGAACTACACAAACCATCAATCATCCCCCACCTCGGCACCCTCGGAACAGTCGACGTGCGGCTTTTGACGAAGTGACGCTTCACCGGACTATCGAGGTTACTCAGTCCAAGTGATCTACTGAGACGTCCGGCTACTCGATACATTCGATCCTTAGCCTTTTCCGTTTACGCTTTTCGATTTCCTTGCTTCGTATTTCACAATGGATCACTCGAGAGATCCCTGTCCCTGGGTCGCCCTGAGCGATTTCGGAGGTGCTTTCTGCATGGGTGTACGTCTACACTGCTGATTACTCAAGTACTTCCATCGCGAAGACATGGATATTAACATGTTTTGTTGATCTAGGCTATTGGTGGTGCGGTTTGGCACGGTGTAAAGGGTTTCAGAAACAGCCCCTACGGCGAGCGACGGATAGGTGCTATCACAGCCATCAAGGCTCGAGCGCCCGTCCTCGGTGGTAACTTTGGTGTCTGGGGTGGTCTGTTCTCGACGTACGATTGTGCGATCAAGGGTATCCGGAAGAAGGAGGATCCTTACAATGCTAGTATGTTGACTCTCTACATTCTACATGACAACTGCGGCGATCCGGCACACTTGGAATGACCTGTTCTAATCGACTTCTTCTCTGCAGTTATTGCTGGTTTCTTCACTGGTGGCTCCCTGGCTATTCGTGGTGGTGTCAAGGCCGCCAGGAACTCTGCCATCATGTGCGCTGTTTTCCTGGCCGTCATTGAGGGTGTTGGTATTGGGTTCCAGAGAATGATGGCAGACAACACAAAACTAGAGGTATGGAATCTCGCATTTGCCGCCTAATTTGTTTATAGCTCTGGCTGACGTTGATGGGTTAATAGCTTCCTCCCCCTCCTCCATCTCCCGAAAAGGCCATCGCATAAATCACCCAATGTCTTTGCGTCGCAGCTACGATTCTTCCTCCGCTGTCAGCCGAGTTCCCATCTATATCCTATATTATTACGTATCTCTCTTCTCAGGTGTTGGGTCTGGGTCATTTCATTTTCAATGAGGCATGGCATAGAGGTTTTTTACTTTCACATTGTGCTTCTAGTCCTACTTTTGACTGTCTCTGAGCACTGGGTTTGCCAGCGATGACGGGTTGTACACTCTTGCAATCCTTATGTTTTTCTATTGCTTTGCTCGGAGGCGAAAAGAAGAGCTCTCTGCACAGGTCCCTGGGATTTGTTGGGCACACCACTTCTTGTACATTAACATGCAGATAAACAGGTCTAATCTGACTTCTCAGTTCACACATTGATTGTCCTATCTTATCTTTTGCAGCCATTGTGGACGGACTCACTCAGGTTTGGAGATGGCGGAGGCAAACTGACTTTCCCAAAGAGGGAAGGCTACGGTGATCGGCCGCCGATAAGCCCATGACACAACGACCTGTCATCATCATCTCGATTGCAGGTTTTCTCGATCGAAGAATCTATCTGGTTGGTGAAGTTTTTTATTTGTCTGATTGGCTATTTCAGCATCTTCTTACATCGTGGTGTTTACTGCTCGGAAGCTAGTTTCGTGGTTTGCCGCCAGGTACACCCAATCCCCTCACAAGCCCTGATCAGCGATACAAGCGACCATGCCCGACTCCACTTCAGCGACCTTCAAGCCTACCCTCATTCTGCACGGCGGCGCAGGCAACATCCATCGCGCGACGCTCCCTCCCGACCTCTACGCTCAATACCATGCCTCCCTCCTCTCCTACCTCCGCTCAACGAAAGATCTCTTGAACAGCGGCGCCAGCGCCCTAGACGCAGCCGTCCACGCCGTTTCCTTGATGGAGGATGACGAGCTCTTCAACTGCGGGCGCGGCAGCGTGTTCACTTCGGCGGGGACAATCGAAATGGAAGCATCCGTGATGGTCACAACAGTCAACGGAGCCACCGACGACGAGACGCCAGGATCCATCAAACGAGGTGCAGGCGTGATGGGGCTAAAGAACGTGCGGCACCCGATCCAGCTCGCGAGAGAGTGTCTCCTCCGAACGGGCTACGATGCCCACGGCGACCCAAACGGCGACGGGGGGAACATGCACTCGCAGCTCGTGGCGCCGTACGTGGAGGAACTAGCTCGGGCGTGGGGGGTGGAGTTCAAACCGGACGAGTGGTTCTGGACCAAGAGGCGGTGGGAGGAACATCGGCGCGGGCTGAAGGGGGAGGAGGAGTCCGTGTCCATGAGCCAGGGGACGGTCGGGTGCGTTTGCCTCGACCGGTGGGGCAATCTGGCTGTTGCGACGAGTACGGGCGGGATGACGAATAAGGTTCCCGGGCGGATTGGGGATACGCCTACGCTCGGGGCGGGGTTTTGGGCTGAGGCGTGGGAGGAGGTGTTGGGCGAGGGCATGGTATACCGGTCGTCGAACCCGCGCGATGCGGATACTTATTCTGAAACTGCGTCCATTGGGCGGATGGCGGGTGCGGCGATAGCCGAGTGCATGCCGCCGTTTATGAACAGATTACTGTCGCCGTATACGCGGTTACCCAGTCTGGACATTCATTCGCAAGGAGTGCACGGCTCCGAGAAGCAGGCACTCCTCTACCAAGGATCTATACCGCGTCGTGTCAGACGACGAGCTGTTGCGCTATCAGGGACCGGAAACGGGGACTCCTTCCTCCGCGTTGCTGCGGCTCGCACCGCTTGTGCTATGCTTCGGTACTCCCAATCGTCGTTCCCTCGTACTCTCGCGGAAGCTGTCAGTGCCGTAGCCGGACCGGATGGAGAACTTCAGCGTTCCGCGGGCCGGAGATGGAGCAAAACCGGGGAAGGTGCTGGGGGCGTCATTGGGATCGAGGCCGAGATGGTGGTAGATGCTACTGGCAACGGTTTGCACGGGGATCAGAAGAAGGGGCTAAGTCGGGGCAAGGTGGTGTTTGATTTCAATTGCGGGGGGATGTGGCGAGCGTGGGTGGAGGAAGATGCTACCGGGAAGGAGGTTGAGAGGGTAATGGTTTTCAAGGAGGAATACCAGTAGCTGGTTGATCATAGTTCCAAGCCATGCTAGATGAACCTAGCTGAAAATCGGCAGCTGCAATCTGGTACAAGCTACGAGATACATGTAAGTACATGTAATCGACACAGAAATCTTTACCACCCCTTCAACGGGGTGAATCTGGCCAGCACGCCATCCTTGGGAGCAACCGTGGCCGACAATCTCACTTCAAGCTTCGCACCGGGGTCCTTCAACTCCATCTGAAACCGTCCCACAGTGGCCGCAACAAGACAAGCCAGCTCAGCCTTCGCAAATCCTTGTCCGATACAACTCCGGGGGCCATGCAAAAAAGTTAAAAACGAGTAATTACTACTGGCACCGCCGGTATTGGCTCGCCCGGGACCCAGCCACCGCTCAACATTAAACTGGTCCGCGTCAGGACCCCACAGTTCCTTGCTGTGGTTGATGACTTTCGGAGAGACGATTATCCTCGTGCCCTTGGGAATAGGGTATCCGACAAGCGTGGTATCTTTGGCTGCATCGCGCACGGTGCCCGGAACAGAAGGGTAGAAGCGGAAGACCTCGTTGCAGAAGGCGTTGAGGTATGGGAGAGAGTCGAGAGTGGCTGCGGAGAGGGGCTCGGGATGCTCGACTGAGATGGGGGGAAGGTGGGCGCGGATTTCCTCCCGGAGGCGCGTCTGCACGTCCGGATGCTTGCACAGGGCGTAGACTGACCACTGGAGGGCTGTGGAGGTGGTTTCGTGGCCGGCGGCGAGGAAGGTCATCATTTGATCGACGAGTTCCTCTTCGGTGAAGGCGCCGCTTTCCAGGGCCACGGAGACGATGTCGGTTCCGGTTGCGGCGGAGTCTTGCTTCTTCATCTTTGCTTCCTTTTCACGGATCATTTGGCGGGCCACGTCGCGGATGTAGAGAGAGCTTTCGCGAATCTCGCGGTTTCGCCTCAGTGGGAGGCTTTGCATAACTCGGAGGTTCGCGACTAGGATGCCGATGACGAAGATGATACGCATTGCGAGCGACGGCTCCTCGAGGAGCCGCTGGTAGTGCTTGGTGAGGTCATTGTTAGCATCGTGGAGAGAACCAAAGTCATGGTCCATTCCTGCGACACCGATGATGTCTAGAGTCGCTCTGCTAGCCCAATCGCTCACGCGAACAATATTGTCTTTGGTGTCTGCTCGGTTATGGAGGTCCTTTTCAATCAGCTTGACCATCTCAATGCTCTTGGACCAGAAAGTCGGGTAGAGGTCCTTTATGTGGCGGTAGGAGAAAGCCGGCATAAGATTCTTTCGTTGCTTCTGCAAAACGCAGCTCCATGAGTCTGGGAATGCACATTCTGGCCAGCAAAGAGCATGCTCACCTTATGCTCGTCTCCCTCAACGAGAAGCACGCCATGCTTTCCTGTAACGCGTGCAAGGCTTTGCCTTACCATCTGAGGCTTGGGAAACTCGTATACCTTTGTCACAAGGAGCTCACCCAGGGCTTTAGGGTTCGTCAGGAATACACGTTCGAGATTCCCCATGATATAGTAACGAATTAATCCGTTGTTTGGCACTTTGTGAGCCCATTCGATCATCTCTTCGAAAGGCGATTCGATGAGATACGAGCTCGTGTTTCCGGTAAGCCATGACCAGGCCTGTTCTCATAAGATTCAGAAACTTGCTCAGTCCGCGTAATAAAAGAATCTTACCGAAGGTGTGGGAATGTGTTTTATGGGGGTGAATAATCTAGGGTACAGGACGAGGGCATAGATGATCCTGAAGGAAGTAACCGCGAGAGATAGCACGACGAATGTCGCCGTTGGTGAATTAAAAATCGTATATTGAGGCCTCAGGTAGACGGAGGAGGCAATGGCAAGGTAAAGTGCCGGCCATGGGATGTTGATCGACATCTTAGAGATCCTTATGAAAATCTGGCTAAGGGAGCTGAATTCAAATTGCCAAAAGGAAGAAATGCCAGACTAGGCTCTTTTGTGAATGTCGACTATCAAGTACTGGAGTATACTGTTGCCTGATTCGGCCAAGTGATAGAATTCAGGGTGTCTTAAGAGGTCGCGAGCGATCTCAACGCAATCTATTGTCCTTGCGTCGGATGCGCCAAATCTTCAGCGAGAAGATAAAATGAAGCTCTTGCTGAGATTTGGTCACTATTCGCAAGACTGCGAATGAGTAGCTCCCAACGAGAAGCTTCAGAAGTCGAGAAATAGCGGATTGTTGATGGTGGATCGGATCAACTGAATTTCATTTCTGGCTTTTAGACCACAAACATCAGGCAGCCTGTTGACTTGAGGTTGAGTCCGACTCCTTTGCGAAGTTCGTAATGACGAAGTTGGTGAATGCAACAGTATGAGAGAGAGTCGGATGAACCGGTCTACCCGACTCGATCATTGTCATCCTTGTGGGCCAATCTGGCTTCTTAATGGACACTGGAATGCGACTAATGACTGTCATCTTAGGCAGCAGTTCAAATTGACTGGAGTAGGCTGATTTGACTAAATCATATCGTTTGTGCTGCTTGACATCTTGCCAATCTAGATTGTCATATTGTCATATTGTCATTGTCCCTCGATGAATGAGTTATGAAGAAGCATAAAACCGGAGCTTCTTCTGCAGCCCGATTCATTGGCACGATGTTGATGCAGGCACGTGATCCTGTCTTTTAAAGTCCTGAGTCCATCATCTTCACCATCCACTTTCTCGAAAATGGCAGAGATGGCTTTCTTCTACTGCTATTTGATACATGCACAATAAGCATTGACAAGTGTTGATCGTGCCACCCGCATCGCCAAACCGCCGTTACACAAATGACGGCCCTCGGAGCAAAAAGCCATATCCCGCCACGGCTCACCCTGCTCCAAAGACTCCAACTACTCACAAGACGTCTCATCTCCTTCCCCCGTCTCATCTTCGGCATCACCTGGGACCTCCTCTTCAACCGAGACTCCGCCTCATTCAGAACGATCTGGATGAGAAACAACGCCCGCGTAGCCGCAACGGTCCCACTCTCTCAAGCACGCGCACTCCAGCGCCCGTCAGGATGCACAGTCGCCTCGCTCTGTAAAGCCCTCAACCTCCGCCATGAGACCGTCGAACTAGACGCAGGCAGCACCTTCCACCGCGCAACCCTGCACTTCATCGACTGTGACCCAACCGCGCCCGGCGCCACCGGGAACGTTCTGCTCTATTTCCACGGCGGGGGGTACATCTTCCCCCTGTCAGCGGGACACTTCAAGTTCGCGCGCGCAGCTGCGCAGAGACTCAATGCGAAATGCGTCCTGCTTGAGTATACGCTCGCACCGGAACTCAAGTATCCCGGCCAACTGGCGCAGGCGGCCGCGGCGCTGCGGTACCTGTTGCAGTACCATGATGCCACGGATGTCACGATAGCGGGCGACTCGGCGGGCGGGAATCTCGCTCTGGCGGTTCTGGCGCATCTGCGGGAACCGCATCCGCTGGTTCGGCCTGTTTTTGAGGGCGAGGAGCAGCAGCAGCAGCAGCAGCAGCAGCTCCGTGCGGCGCTCTGCATCAGTCCTCGCTGTGCGAATGAGGCCACCGCCGCGAGCTATACGTACAACGCTTCTAAGGATATTGTCAGTAAGGCGACGATGGAGCTGTTCAATTCGAACTGGGAACCGGTGAAGGAGGAGGTTTGGGCGACTCCGCTGGCTGGGACGAAGGACTTTTGGCGATCTATTCATGCGAAGAAGGTTCTGATCCTCGCGGGCACCGACGAGGTTTATGTGGATGATATCCGGCAGTTTGGTGAGATGCTCGGTTCGTCGAGCCAGGCTGGCACTGAGCTCGTTCTGTGCGCCGGAGAGGTCCACGTACAGGCTATTTGTGACATAGCCGCGGATAACTGGGATGGTGTCATGCTAAAGGTTGCTCTCAACTGGCTACAGAATCTGAGGGAAACTAAATGGCCTGGAGATACTGTTGCCACCAAGGTGGAAGGGGTTTGCTCTTCATGGGGCCATACCGACACCCTCATACCCAGTCATGCAGGTGAGAGTAACGTCACCGACATCGGTGAATGTCACTACATAGCTGAGAGTGCAGGCAATATATTATTGAGGACTAGTAATAGTATATACCCATTTCAAAAACATCATTAAACTACTCCATCCTACTTTGTACTGTAGTCACACCAGCTATAGCAACCGTGGAGGGGGTGGCATCCTTTAATTTAACTCAAATGGAGTGATCTGGTTGGTCAAGAGAATGTATAACTACCTAGAAGAGAGGATTGGTCTACCAAGACTGATCTAATACTCAGAATCCTAGGTATCATTATTTTGTATGGAACATAGTACATCATGTTAATTTCATTCTCTCTGGATGCGCTCCTACACCCACAAAGGTCTCAGGACCATCACCTGCCTGATAAAATAAGAGTATGTTGCTATAACAGGCCCCCTCCACAAAGACTATGATGAGTTATGACAATTGGGACAGACGTCATGCCCGTTGATGATGGTTCAGGGGGAAGGCGTGATCATTCATTCTTTTGTATTCCGTTACAAGTCAAATGCTCAAATAGATGTATAATATAAAACACAGATACCCGAAAAGACTCAGGGCCGCAAGCAGCCCATCCTAAATTATCCTCAATCACACGCTTTACATCTTCTCGCCGTTGGCCTGCTTCATCTGGCCGTACTTCTTCAGACGGATAGCGGACACGCCAATGAAGCCGGTGGTCTCGGTAGGAGCAAAGTCACCGATCTCGTCCATGCTGGACTCGGACATGTCGTACAGCTTCTCTGTCTCGGAGGAACGGCCGAGAATGGAAACGCTGCCCTTGTAGGCGCGGCAACGGACCTGTCCGTTGACGGTCTTCTGGGAAGCAGTGATGGAAGCCTCGAGGAACTCACGCTCGGGGGAGAAGTAGAGGCCGTTGTACAGGAGCTGAGACGAGTTAGCATTCCACCCCACAAAGTAACTCGGCCGGGTAGAAACAAACCTTGGAGTAGTTGAAGGTAACAAATTGGTCACGCAGAGCACGGACCTCACGGTCCAAAACCAGACCTTCCAGATCACTGATGTCGAATTAGAGACAACCGGGAAAAGACAGTTTGAGGTAACTCACATGTGAGCAGCACGCAGACAGGTGAGACCAGGGGTCTCGTAGCAACCACGAGACTTGATACCGATGAAACGGTTCTCAACAATGTCGATACGGCCAACGCCGTTGCGGCGGGCAATAGCGTTGGCGGTCAGGAAAAGGTCGACGGCGTCGGTAGCGACCTTCTTCTGGCCACCCTCAGTGTATTCGAGCTTGACGGGGATACCCTTCTCGAAGTGAACGGTGAAATCCTCGGGCTGGTCAGGGGCGGTGAGAGGGTCCTGGGTGAGCTTCCACATGTCGGAGGGAGGGGTGACATCGGGGTCCTCGAGGATACCGGCCTCATAGGAGCAGTGGGCCAGGTTCTCGTCCATAGACCAGGGCTTGGCCTTGGTGGAGGTCACGGGAATGCCCTTCTCAGAGGCGTAGGAGAGCAGGTCGTTACGACCGGCGAAGCGGTTGTAGAAAGCAGGGTCACGCCAGGGGGCAATGACCTTGATATCGGGCTGCAGGGCGTAGAAGGCAAGCTCGAAACGGACCTGGTCGTTACCCTTGCCGGTGCAACCGTGGGAAACGGCGAAGCAACCTTCCCTCTATACATTCCTTGTCAATGTGCGATTCTGGCGTGGTGAATCACCAGGGAGAACCAACCTTGGCGACCTCAATCTGAGCACGAGCAATGACGGGACGGGCAAGAGACGTTCCTTCAATGGAAATTAACATCAATACCGGTTTCTTTTGGCACTCGTGACATACCCAGAAGGTAGACGTTCTCGTAGATAGCATTGCAGGCAATGGCGGGAAAGCAGAGCTGCTCAATGAACTCCCCTGCATTGCTGTTAGATTCCAATGTAATCACCCAGGCAAATCTCTCGAGTATACATACGGCGGAGGTCGACAATCTCGCACTTGACGGCACCGAGCTTCAGAGCCTTCTCCCGGATAGCGTCAAAGTCCTCTGGACGAGCGGTGAGTCAGAACATCAAGGACGGACCAATTCGCAATTCGAATCTCGCAATGATGAATTACCTTCCTGGCCAACATCGGCAGCTATTGAAAACGTCAGTCATGCTTTCCGCCTTGTCCAAAGTTCGGAGCCGCCTTACTGAAAGCAACAACCTCGTAGCCCTCGTCAATGAGCCATTTCACTGGAATCCGCGGTCAGCACGGGCCGGAAACCCCCATGGTGAAAGTGTGGGGCAATTACAGATGACACTGGTGTCGAGACCACCGCTGAAGGCGACGCAGACCTTTCCTTTCGACATGATTGATGTGTGTGATGTAGCAATTGATGGGAAGGGAACCAGGAGCACGAGAAGGAACAATTGAGGAGGGAATGGAGCTTGGGGATTGAGTCATTCCAACAAGTCCGGGAAGAAAAGTTTTGGCGGGAGAAGTGCCTGAGTGCCTGGCGGTCTGGGGCATTGCCTCTTTGGGACTAGGGCGCTTGGCACCGCCGAAATCGCTTCGTGCGATAAGATAAGAGCGGGGCGTCGATCATTGCCGGATACAACGGCAGGACCTCCAGTCTTGGAAGAGTCAGGAGTGTCGTCGTTGAGATGGTTTCTGAGAAGAGATCATCTGGAGTGCCTTGATGGCATGCATGTGTTGACGAGGATCACTCGAGGAAGCATGGATCGAGTGCTCCATGCCTGAGCGAGCCGAGCGATAAGCACCCACTTGACTCTTATCCGGTGACATGATGCGCCTGCAAGAAATGACTCTCATCACGAAACAGCTTCAATATCACAAATAGAAAACTGATGGTGATGGAATCCATTATTTGGAGTCACTCGAGATATTGCTGACGAAGGATGACCGCTGATGCTCTAATTCTCGGTAACATCATGCAAGGAAAAAAGGGCCGAACCATCCAGGTATACCTAGGGACATCGCCGCGATCAACCAATGGAAAAGGGAAATTCGAAACAAAAGTCTCAGTCAGAAAGATGCAACTCTTTGATCATCTTACCTGAAGCTCTTCAGGTCCTTGTGCTTCCCCTCACTCAGAGATATAACCCGGCTTTGCTGCAAGGCCTCGGCACGAGCACTAGAACAGCGTTACATCATCCATCTGCAAGACGATTTCTAATCACCCTCAGGTTGCACTGACTTTTACTCTTATATCTTCTGAATCTTGCATCTCTTCTTCTTCTTCAACTCTCTATCAAGCGGTGTTGATATTCCAGTTACGTATAAAACATCCCACCAGTGTCAATTAACCATGTCGCGATCTGAAGTGCCAGACATCGAGAACAAACCCGCCCCGGGTATCTCTTACTTTACTCCTGCCCAAGAACCGCCTGCAGGCACAGCTGCTAACCCTCAGTCTGATGGATCGGCACCTCCGAAGCTCTTTCAGCCCCTCTCGGTGCGGGGTCTGACCTTCCACAATCGCATTGGTGTGAGTACCAGTTCTTCCCAGCCATCTATGCCAGCCTTACAATTTGGGGGGAAAAAAATGGCTTACATGCATGATAATGACTAGCTATCACCGCTCTGCCAATACTCGGCCGACGATGGACATATGACTCCCTGGCATATGGCACATCTTGGAGGGATCGCCCAGCGAGGGCCAGGATTCTTGATCGTCGAGGCAACAGCAGTCGAGCCCGAAGGCCGGATCACCCCGCAGGACCTGGGACTGTGGAAAGACTCGCAGATTGAACCATTGAGCCGCGTGATCGAATTCGTCCACAGCCAGAACCAGCTTATCGGAGTGCAGATCGCACACGCAGGTCGCAAGGCCAGCACCGTCGCGCCGTGGCTGTCGGCCAACGATACCGCCTCCGAGAAGATGGGAGGCTGGCCAGACCGCGTCAAAGGCCCCACGAATGAGCCCTTCAACAGCCGGAACCCTGTGCCGAAGCAGATGACCAAGCAGGATATCGAGGATTTGAAGACCGCCTGGGTGGCTGCTGTGAAACGGGCTGTCAAGGCCGGGGCGGACTTCATCGAAATCCACAATGCGCATGGCTATCTTCTGATGTCGTTCCTGTCACCTGCGGTAAACACGAGAACAGACGAGTACGGAGGCAGTTTCGAGAACCGCATCCAGCTCAGTCTGGAGATCGCCAGACTCACCCGGGAAGCTGTGCCCAAGGATATGCCTGTCTTCCTGCGGGTCTCCGCCACCGATTGGCTGGAGGAGGTCCAACCCAACAGGCCCAGCTGGCGAGCGGAGGACACTGTCATATTTGCAAAGGTGCTGGCAGACAGCGGATACATAGACGTGCTTGACGTGAGCAGCGGCGGCACTCATTCGGCGCAGCATATCCACGCGAAGCCAGGCTTCCAAGCACCCTTTGCCATTGCTGTGAAGAAGGCCGTCGGGGACAAACTAGCAGTGGCATCAGTGGGCATGATTGACAGCGCACATATGGCTAATTCCTTGCTAGAGAAGGACGGACTGGACCTTGTGCTTGTTGGACGTGGCTTCCAGAAGAACCCTGGGTTGGTGTGGACCTGGGCCGAAGAACTGAACCTCGAGATCTCCATGGCTAACCAGATCCGATGGGGCTTCTCGCGGCGCGGTGCCGGTCCCTACCTGAAGAAGAGACAAGAGAAGATGTAAACTCCGTCACGGGAACCAATTGAGGTTTTGTGTATCGTGTCTTGCATTCCTTAACTTGTTCGTAAAGTATGTGCCATCGAATTGTGTAGAGTCCATAGGTTGCTTGTAGTCAACAACGCTGCGAATAGATTGTGAATCATCAAAAGCAGAAAAGCTAGAAATAAGAAATATATGTACACCCAATCTGCCATGAAGATAGTTCACTGCAGGCAAAATGAATAATGACAGAATCTGCTTAACACGCTAATGCGAATGCACCTAGGGAAAGAGGAAAGAATCACAAAAGACTAATCTTGCGACCACATCACAAATGATGGCGCGTTGTTGTCAAGTAGTTCCCATGAAGCTCTGCCAAACACAAAAAATCATCGTTAGCCGTCTCATTCACATAACTAGCTTATAGAGAATTCACCTTCCCAGGCCTCCAAGGCCACCTTCTCTGCATCCCATCCCCAGAGGAATTTCTGTGTCTCCCGATCGGCCCATTTGTCGGGGTTCGATGCACCGTTCATCGCAGCGCGGAACTGGTCGTCGCGGGCTTGTTGTTCCGGTCCGTCTGGAAGATGCAGGGTAGCGCGGTTGGTGGTGCCGGACTGCTGCACCGTCTCTGCGCGTTGTTTGCGGGATCGTTCGTATGCCTCCAGGGCCAGGGGGATTTCACTCCGCGAGGAGATCGTGGACAGGAGGACGCCGAGGGCGGCGGCGTCTTCGACTGCCTGAGCGGCGCCTTGTCCAACGTACGGACTGCTTGCGGGTTAGTGAGAGTTTCCAGGATGGCTGCGAGTGAGAGCTTACAGCATTGGATGGCAGGCATCGCCGATCAAGGCCACGCGGCCCTTGATCCACGTCTTGAGAGGCGGGTGCAGGCAGAGCTTCCACTCGAGGACTTCGTCGTCTTGGACCAGGTCGATGAGCTTCGTGACTCGCCTGTCCCAGCCGCGATAGTGATCGACCATAGCCTGCTTCGAGCCCTTGGTTGTCCACGACTCTTCGACGTCGCTGCGGTCTGGATGAAGCAGGACGATGTTGTATAGCTGGTGGTTGCGGACCGGGTAAGCGATGATATGGCGGTATGGGCCGATCCACCGGGTCGCTTGGGGCTCGTCGATGAGCTCCTTCAGCTCGGGATCATGCTCCATTGCGCTTCGGGGAAGCATGATTCTGTACGCAGCGTCTCCAGTGGGCATGGCCTTGGTAGCTTCCGCGCCGAGCAGCTGGTCGCGAATGCCGGATTTGATCCCGTCTGCTGCAATGACTACATCGCCGTACACCACGGTCCCGTTGGCAAGGGTCACGGCTGGAGGGTCGAACTGCACGCGAGTGACCGTCGAGTTGACTCGTACTTCGACGTTCTCCAACGCCACAGCCTTTTCGATCAGCGCATCGTGGAGATCTGCGCGGTGGACCACTACTTGCTGGCCGTATGTCTTGTTCACGGGCATTGTTCCCAGAAGACTGCCGTCCTCCCATCGTCGGACGTGAATGTGTTCCAAGGCGACGTCCTTGGCGTGTATTGAGGGAGAGACTCCCCATCCTGAAGATACATTAGCTGTTTTCATTGAGGCAAAAGGGATTCCACTCACTGTCAAACAGCGTCAGCATGTTCGGAGAGCCTTGGATTCCAGCCCCGACTTCCATGAGCTATCCGGGGTCAGTCTGAACTTCTCGTATCTCTCATGCTCTGAGGAGCTTGGTTGCATACCTTTGGGGCAGATTCGAGAACAACGACATGATGTCCTCGTTGGCCCAATGTCAATGCGGCAGCCATACCACCAATGCCTATACCAGTCAGCCTACGGTAGGTCATCCACATCACTCAGCATACCGGCACTGAAAAGTCAGCTTGAACCTGGAATATAAGGGCAGCAGTGTAGGAAATTGGCCTACCCAACAATAACCACCTCGAGAGGTGTTTTTGCCCGTGGTACAATCATGGCGATGAGACGCTATAGCAGACAGTATAATCCAGATGACGACAGGATTGTACACTGCACGGCTGTCCGCAACTTGCTTTATCTGGTAATCTGGTTGAATCCCGATCTTACCACTTCGCCACTGACGTGCCAAAATTGTACATGTAAGGAAAGCGATGAAGAAGTAAGTAGTAAGGATGATGAAGGATTATATCTGCTCTCGCCGGGAGAAGCGGCAAGTATTCCAGTCTCAAGCGAATGGACTTCCCCACAGCCCGGCGAGCGCGAAAGTAACTATCATTTTCTAATAATGTGATTACCTCCAGTCCTCCATATCTCTCCCGTCGTCGGAAACTCGTACTCGTAATAATGACTCGAATGAGATTCAAAACGTCGACCAGTCCGAAACTAAGCGGGGCTCGGGGGAATTCCAGGCCAACATACCAGAGCCAACAATCCTTAACATATTATCAACATACACATGCAATCCCATGTCAATCAACGAATCAAGACATGACCCCCTTGACTTGCAACTCGGAGACCGCGCAAATCCCCCATTATTATTGCCCGCTCGGCACCAACGCCGGGTGAACCACTCTTTGCGCAGTGGCCCGGCTCTGCTCAAGCCCGCATCTGCCGAAACACGTCAACCCGTCTCTCCCCAGACTCATCCCGTGGATTTTCGTGGGATGGTCCCTTGCGGCCCACAAACTGGCTTTTTGGATCAGTATCGGACCATATCTATGTTGGGGGCTGCTTTGCGGATAATGATGCTAATCTCTAGGTCACGGCAAAGGATGGGGTTGTGCATTGCCGATGGGCGCCCAGGTCATCTTGCTATACCCCCTCAATATCCAGACAGCTTGCCTGGTGCAGCCATGGCTAATTCTCAGATTTGAGTTATGCACCAGGGAACTGAACTGAGATGCAGCCTGCCGGCCATTAAGCAGCTTTACCAACGCTGTCCTCCTATTCAGTAACTCTGCGCTCACGTCCGAATGTGTCAGCAGTTGAGCCGTATGGTCATTTTCATCTCAGTCTCTGATTTACTATGAACTTCACGGAGTGTAGATACCTGGATATCAGACTACATGGCACATGGACTATCTATAATACACATCTGACCGATCCCCACAATTCGCACGACTTATTCCCCATTCACGCTGATAATGATCCACCCGAGGCTGGCAGGAAGACTAGGAGTCAAGTATCCGTGCCGGCGAACTTAATATAGAACAATCGGGCTGGTTTGGATCCCCTAAATGTATTCGACTGAGAAAGTCAAATCATGCAGTCTACTTCCCCATACGGAATCGGGCTCGTCCCGCTCGACGACTCGGCAATTGATTGAGCTTTCAAGGTCCGAGGAGGATTCTGGTCGAATTGTCTGCGTATACAATATACACGCGGGTTGGCCTTGTAGAATGGGATGAGATGGACGTCCTTGTTGTACAGTTTACGGTCTTGAAAATCTGGAATGCATTGCTGCTTCATATTGCTTTGGTTGATTGTTCAAGGTTAATGATACTAAGGGAGGTGGAAATCACTAAGGTAGTCACATATTCATGTCTTTCGTTTGATCGTGTTCTCGTGCCTCGTAAATGACAATATGATAACCCATACTTCCGAGTACGATGTAGATGATGGCAGATCTAGTCTAACCCAGTGACTCAATCTTGAAGGCCTCTGTGTAAGTGCAACCTCGAAGTGAAGCGATTTGACATGAATGAGACGCGTGCTGAATAACCATTTCAAAGGAGTGATGAGACACCCACCCCAACGCCTGAAAATATGCAGAGAAGCTATATACATCGCTCTCGCCAGGATGGCCCTGGGTGCAAATGAGAGACTGAGATGAAATGAATGAAAAGGGCAAAGAAGAAAAAATAGACTCAATAATGAACCGGCCTCGCGTATGGACATCCACGTCTCTGGCATTTCGGATCATGACTGTACAATAGCATATACAATGGCATGGTGCATATGCGAGAGGAAGTAATCAGGCTGTAAACATCAGCCGCAGGCGACTGGACCGCTTTTTTTTCTCCTTGGGCTTTTTGTCCTTGTCGGAATGACGCGATTCCGCTTTGGACGGGGCCCTTGATGGGGCCTTGGAGGGAGCTTTGGAGGGTGCCTTGGAGAAAATCTTTGTGTGCGTCCGCGACGGAGCCACCGATGGTGCTTTCGAGCCCGCGTCAAAATCAGACTGATGGTACCGAGAGCTGCTTCTCGGGGCCCGCGAGCGACGGGAACGGCGGGATGAAGCAACGGACTCATCGTCGTGGAACTTGAATCGAGGATCTCGCATCATACGTGCCGTGGTGATGTCGATACCAGACATGGCGGCGGCAGTGGGGGTGATGAATTCACCATCGACAGATGTGCCGAGGCTATCTGCTTCCGCGTCAGCGACACCACGCCGCCACATCTCGACTCCGCTAAGACAATCGGTGTCGAATTCAATCATGTCTTCCACGATGACGGACTGTCTATCTTCTTGCCCCTGCCCCCGGATAACGTCGTTGCCGGCAGATTGGATCTGCTTGATGATCTTGTACCCGCCGAACATGACGATCGTAACACCGAGACCGACACCGGCGGCGATCAGGAATTGTGGACTCGCTAGCAAGGCGAAAATGGTCGGGGCGGCCGACTTAAGGGTGGACAGTGCAGCAGGTGCCATTTTCGTCGCCAGGTTGCTGATTTCAGCCAAGGTCAGCGCGACAGCAGCCATGGCGTCCGGATTCTTCTGAAGGTGAGCAATCGTGGCAGTTGCACTGTGGTGCACACAGTTGGCTTCCTCGAGAAGCCATTGGGCGCGGTCGACCAAACCATTGAGTTCAGGGTCTTCGATCCTTTGGAGTTGCTGTTGCTGTGAGGATGGATCCCTGGTCAGGGCCGACGGATGGAACTCGCCGTATGCCAAGTCCATATCGACATGAGCATCCGATTTGGAACGACTCGTCATCGGGCGTCGCTCAGGTTCCCTGGTGATATTATGATGCGTATGACGTCGGACCATGTCCGGTGGACGGGCGTAGTAGGACTCCGTGTGCGAGGCTACCGAGTGCAGGTCCTGTTCATAGTGCGAAGGGGTGCGATGATGTCGAGGGTGTCGCGAATGTGTGCTTCTGCTTCTGCGAGAGGGAGCGACTGACGGCGCATCATCAATGTGATAGTTTTGCAAGGCCCTGAGGGCTTCCCTTTCGGCAATCTTGGCGTTGCGCTCCGATTGAATCTGAGCCTTGCGTTCACGATATGCATTTTTGGCCTGCGTAAAGACCCCGAAGAGGTGTTTACTCTATTGTGCAGTGGTCAGATCGAATTATAACGGTTGGAGATGACGAGAAAAAGTGCCAAGTGCCTACCGTGCTCACTACCTTGCCGGACTTGTCGATCACGGCAATCGTCTCGCCTAACGGAGGCATACTGTTGGGTAAAGGATGCTAGATTAGACAGCATTCAATAGCCACGAATAACTAGGTCGTCAGGATAAGTCCAAACTGCTGTCACCCGTCTCAAATCAGTATAGACGATGATTCATATAATGATGATCGGAGTCGGTGGTGGCTCCGAGATCAAGCGGTGAAGAGCAGCTTAGATAGTGTACTGTACTCCGTAGATAGAGGTGTTGGCGCAGGTGGAGAACGGGGACTTTTCCCCTTATTCTTATTCTCCGCCAGGGAGAACTCAAAGAACAACCTAAGATAAGATTCTGAAGGTATCTCCAGATGATCAAGGAGCACGGACGGAACCTGGGAGGCGAAAAAGGGACATAGAAACTGGTGCCTGTTTCAAGGTAAGGTTTCTCAGCTGAGATTGGAATCTTAAATGCACCAAAGTAAGGTACCACCCCAGAAAAATAAGAAGAGTAAGGCCGGGCCTGACCAACAAATACGATGACTGTATTGAGTCAGGGGGGCCAAGACCATGAACAACTCAAAGTTCTGAGGAAGGAATAACGAAGAAAAGAAATGGGGAGGCTGGGATGGTCGACAGTTGTAGCAAGATTCGGCGTCTAAATAAGAGCGAAGCAGCGAACAGGATGAAATTCCGCGAGAATATTCGGCCTGCTTGGGTGTGATGAAGCTGGCGGACAAGGCAGAAGAGCTTAGATTTCCAAGGCGTTGGAGTCAAATCATCGTTGAGACCTTGAAAACTGAGCCCTGTATGAAGGAGATTAGTGCTTCCTGGTCTCTGTTTGGGTTGCAAAGGCAGCAGGATTAGCCATTAAGCCACCCATCTAGAAGATCCGTGGGGACGGCGATTTGCTGGCACAACACGATCAGGATGCATGGCTGCATCATCCATGATCGTTGGCTGCACTACTGTACTCGGGCCAGTAGAGTTGGTTGGGCACAAGACATTGCTGTTGTATGAGTTATAAGGAGGTACTTCTGTCGTCCTGATGGAACCAATCCTTCGATGATTCATTGCTGTTTAAGAAAATTCTTGATAATGGTGGATGACACAGGTCAATAGGTACCGGGTGATAAGAGTAGCGGTGATGTTGTAGATTCTGATTGGTGGGAGATGTCACCGCCACTGTGGCTGGTGTACTGCCACACCATTACGTAATCTCTTCTGATACTCTTACAATACGCGTAATTTAGCCCAAGCATTTCTCTCCATCCAGATTCCAGTTTTAGCCAGATCCTCAGACGCTTTTCATATTTATTGAAAAAAAGGAACATAAGAAGGAACAACAAGTTCATCTAATCTAGATTCTGTTGGATACTCCTCTGAGGCAAATGGCAGAAGAAACGTCATGGCTGACTATCAAACCTGTTGTCCCGTCCTATGTAAGCCTTGAGGAAATGGAATGATGATGGACAGCTACACCGTATCTCGGGCACAAAAATCATGTACCTACAGTAGCTTCTTTGTTCATATCTCAGCTAGGGATAGATAAGTCAATGCGACTGTGACTCTCTTTGCTCATTTCTCGTCTCTCGTCATTCTCCCTTGTCTTTGCGACATCTTTGTGTTCCCTTGACCTCAAGATCCTGATGGGTATAAAATAAATGCTACATCTGCCTGCTACACCTTCCCTGGGTCACTGATAGTTTGACTTATTTTTTGAGGCTTGCAGATTAGGACCTGATGGAATATGTCTCAATGCAAGACAAATACTCTGATAACCCATCTTCTATGGGAACCTAGGTCAGTCCTGCCTTGTATCTGAGCTAGCAGCAGACCTCGATAATAAGCAGAACAAAAGACTGCAGTAGTATTTTCCATACTGACCCTAGAAGCAGACAGTCATGTTGTCGGAAGAATCGAGAGCGCCTTCGAGGTATGTCACAGTACTTCATTACTCAGGAAGGATCGCTGGCTGTTTTGCTCCGTTTTGATGCTTTCGTTGCTTCTGCCCGCACCGCCACACCTTCAATCACGACATCACCGCAGAAAAGAAGCAAAAGAATTCCCAGGAGTTTTGTTGACTGCGCACTCAATCAAGGAGCGATATCGCCAATTCCTGTTATTTTCTTCTCATTGTATTTTCATCATTCAGTTAACCTCTTCATATGTATCTACGGTGTAGTTCTTGAGGTGACTCATCCACACCACTGCAAGAGGGCATCACGTGGACGAAGCAGACCATCACTTCCTCTCCCAAACCAAAGCCACAGCATCCAATCCTTAGAAAGACTGGCTAAGACTCTCTGTTTCATCGTGTCGTAGCGATGAACAGCGCAGTACAAGGGAAACCTGGTCCCTCAATGGAAATTGACGGGTCGGACTCGCGGCCTTTGACTCGGCAATTCCTCAACGATGGCCCTGATCATCTGAACACCCGATCAGACGGTGGTATCGGACATCGAGTACAGGCTAGTCGATCGGTGCTGGCTCTGGTCATAGACGATGAATGTGTTTTTGCTGGGTTACAAGGAGGAGATATTGTGGTAAGTACTTCTAACTCCTGACCCTTGGTAGACATATACTGAAACCCGGCATAGGCATGGTCTCTCGAGACATATGAACTTGTGCTCTCTGTTCACGCTCATCAAGAAAGTGTCCTGGGCCTTCATCTGTCCGAGGATGGCGACCTTCTCTTCTCCAGTGGTGGAGATTCCGTCATCAATGTAAGGGACTTTTGTGCGTCCGTTGGAAGTCCCAGCTTGTTGACTTCTGTAGGTCTGGTCGACGAGGACTTTTGATCGACTATTTTCGATCCATTCTCATCACGATGTGGGCGATATCTTCTCCGTGGCGTACTCGTCAAGCCTGAAGACGATCTATTGCGGAGGTCAAAATACTAGCATTCAGGTAGGCTTATATTGATCCTCAAAAGCCTCGGTACTGACTATTGTAGTGGTGCGACCTCGCCAAAACAGATGCAGTCTCGACCAAGCAGTCAGCCGCTCATCTGTCGAAGCGCACGCACCGGTTCTTTGATTCCCGGGGGCCCGATGGGACACGCGCACCCCGGCCGGACGCGGGTGCTGATGGCGTACGGGCAGTCATCCAAGGGGGTCAAGTCCTGACCTTCAAACGCGACCATCACAAACTCTTCTCGCATCATGGATACATCTACACCATGCTTCTTGTCCGAGGCTTGCTTGAATCATCGCCTACGGAGGAGGTGCTTCTGACGGGCGCCGGCGACGGCGTGGTCAAACTGTGGCGTTTGGACCAGGACGAGGCGCCGTCTGAAATGGCAGCGCTCGAGAACGGGGATCCGGTTCTTGCGCTGGCCGTCGACGGATCGTTTCTCTATTGTGGCCTTTCCGGGGGTGCGCTAAACATTTGGAATTTGGACTCGCGCCAGTTGGTGAAACGCATCACCGGACATACGGGCGACTTATGGGCGGTCGATATTGTTCAAGGATTGGTGGTTTGTGGTGATTCGAATGGAGTCATCAAGGTATGCTCTTGATTTTACTGATGTGTGGAGCCGTGGGCTGACCGTCGTGGCTAGAAATTTAATTCTCGATTTGAAGAAGTGGGCAGCTGGATTGCTCACGGAGGAACGATGCTGGCGTCTGCAGCCGGTCGATTCAAGGACCGGCTCATCTACGCCAGTGGAGGCAATGACAACACAGTGGGCATCTGGGATTTGACGGAGGTGTCTAGCAAGCAGGATGAGCTGGCACCGATCAATAACGGTAAGGATAGTCACAATATCTGACAAAGTCACGATGCTCATATGAGACGCAGACGAAATGGTCAACTGCCTTGCCCGATTCGTCGCCTTCAAAACAGTCTCGGCCAGCCCGAAGTTCGCTGGGGAGTGCAATCAGGGAGCGGCATTCCTCCGACGACACTGCATCTACTTGGGGGCGAAAACGAAGCTCCTGCCTACGGGACAAGACACAAACCCGATTGTGTACGCACGATTCGGCGCCAACTCGCCCGATAAAGTCGACAAGACTATTCTGTTCTATGGCCATTACGATGTCGTGGGTGCGGATGCCAACCGAACCAAGTGGAACACCGATCCGTACCAGCTGGCATCCATCGATGGCTTTTTGTACGGCCGTGGAGTTTCGGACAACAAAGGGCCTATCCTGGCGGCATTGTATGCGGCTGCGGATCTGGCACGGCAAAAGGCGCTTCCTTGCAACGTTGTTTTCCTTATCGAGGGCGAGGAGGAGTCAGGCTCGCAAGGTTTCCACGAGACCATCCGACAACACAAGCCGGAAATTGGACCGGTTGATTGGATTCTACTGGCCAACAGTTACTGGCTCGACGATTACAACCCCTGTTTGACATACGGCCTGCGGGGTGTGGTGCATGCCAATCTGATCGTCACCAGCGACCACCCCGATCTCCACAGCGGCATTGACGGTAGCGCATTGCTGGATGAGCCCTTGAAGGATCTGTCGATGCTGCTGGCCAGCTTGGTGGGCCCTAAAGGGCGGGTCAATATCCCAGGCTTCCACGGCCTTGTCCTTCCCTTGACGGAGGCCGAGAAGCAGCGATTCGCAGACGTAGCGAGGATTCTGCTACCGCAGCACCCTGAAATCACCGACTGCGATGCGCTCATCAACTCGTTGATGCACCGGTGGCGGGAGCCATCTCTCACCATCCATTCCGTCGAGGTACCCGGAAGCAGCAAGGCGTCGACGACCACCATCTCGCGCAAAGCCAAAGCCAGCCTCTCGATCCGAGTCGTCCCGAATCAAGAAGCAGACGAGGTGGCCGCCAACCTCACCCTGTACGCGCAGGAGCAATTCGACAAGCTGGAGTCGCAGAACGACCTCACGGTAGAAATCACAGGCAAGTCGGATCCCTGGCTCGGCGATCCCGACAACGAGATCTTCGAGACCCTCTCGGAAGCGATCACCGCAGCCTGGAGCCGGGACCACACCAGCCAGAAACACCAGTACCCGCCGCTGCAGCGCGCCGCCAAGCGCAAGGACTCGCCGGGACTCGCGCGCACCGACTCCTCGGACAGCCTGGCCTCGCACATCGACCGCATCATCATGTCGACGACGACCTCGTCGGCAGGCAAGAGCAAGGCCCGCCAGCGCACTGCCCTCAGCACCACGGTGCCCACCTCGTCCACGCTGACGAGCAAATCGGGCGCCATCGCCTCGCCAGACGCGAGCGGGGACTCCTCGTCCGACGAGAAGCTTGCAGCCACTGCCAGCGAGCCGGTCGCTACCCGTCCATCAGTCCAGCCGATCTTCATCCGCGAGGGCGGATCGATCCCCACGATCCGGTTCTTGGAAAAGGAATTCTCAGCGCCGGCGGCCAACCTGCCCTGCGGCCAGGCGAGCGACAACGCGCATCTGTACAACGAGCGGCTGCGGGTGGAGAATCTGTACAAGAGCCGGGAGATCTTCCAGTATGTGTTTGCGCGGTTGCCGGAGCGGCGTCCCAGCTAGTTTGCTGTTTCTGCCACAGCCTCACATGTAGACAATCGAATCGCTTTTTATTGTATCCGGTATTACCTTTCTAGTTTTCCAAACAAGGCAACCTTTCCCTCATCCCATCAGTGTCTCACAGTAAAGCAGAGTGCAGACAGACCTTCCCCTCCTGATCGTCAGCGCAGAGCGCAAATGCAACTGCAAAGCCAGGTAGCGTAGCCTAGCGCATGCACGGACTTTTGCTAGTCGAGCCAGACCTTGCGGGCAGTGCTGCCGTTAGACCCGCACGTTCAACAGACTGCAAACTGCAGAGCCCGAGGAAGTAAAGCAGATTAATTGCAGAAGTACTCCGTAGAACGTTTGGCTTGAGCAGGGTTGATGACAACTCCACCCGCGCATGAATATGATTGCCTGACTGTATCCGGATCCATGAGTGCGAGTGGATCTCGTCGAGCGTCGGTGTCCAGCCACTCTCCCAAGGCACTGGTTAGTTGATTGTGTGGGCAGTAAGCACAGCCAATGATGGGCGTCCGCGTGTATGAACTATTATTTAGCTTGAAGAATTGAGTAAGTGACATGATGCAGAATTGAATCAACGTCGTCTGCATGGATATTAAGGAGGTGAAGATGAAGTAGGTGGATGAGGGGTCTTTTAATTACTACGGAGTACAGGAGGATTTCTAAGCATCTGGTTCACTATCATTGGGAGTATTAATATTCATGAGTCAGGATTCACATTCACTGTCACCTACCGAGTATCTACCAGGTAGACTAACCAGACCAATCTAATTCCAAATTGCTCAAGCGCAATTGTAGTTGCAAATGCAATAGTGGACCCCAATTATTCCAACCCACCCAGCGGCCTGGCTTCTGGAACCGTCAGGCTGCATTTGCATTTGCATGATTGCCTGTGGTAAGACCGTGGAGTTCAAGTTCATTCTAGGATACCTCCAGAGTAATCCCTAGTGCTTACGAGGCCATCCAGGAAGCAGGAAACCGACAGTCGCACCTTGCTCAGGCCTTGCCACCAAGACCTTGGGCCTTGGATTTTCCATGACACTACTCCGTAGACTAGACTAGATACCAAGAGTAAATCCCTGAGCTGATCCCGGCCGCCCAGACTCGTGGGCCGTGGGTGTGGGCGTGGCAGTTTCCCTCTCCAGCAGCGTGCATCCGAGAGCATCCTAAACCCGCTGTCAGTGTCGAGCTAATGGGGCCGGCAGAAGTCTGTTTGTTCCGGATGGAGTGGTGTAGTGTGGCGTGGCGTGGCCTGGCCGAGGATAAGATGATATGAGTGTATGTCATAGTGCACGGGGAGTGGCTGTTTTGTGCTTGTGTCTGGTGAATATCCTGTACTCTGTATGCTTGGTGTCTCTGGTTTATTTAGGGTTACTGGCTTACCATTCACTACCTTCCTCTTCTAGATGATAGTGCAGTGTACGAGATATTAAATATTCTGTAATTCTTTCATTATATCTTTCAGTGCTTCTGCTTGATTGAGACTCCCTGACATCATATGCTCATGCAACATCATGGACGCATCCGACGCAGCGTACCTCCTAGGTCGTGATCCTGAAGAATCCAAACGGTACACATGATGCATCCTTCTAAGCTGATATGACTGCTGACGGGTATGGTATAGCCTCAACGCACAACATGCCTTCCTCGTGGACGTCATCGGCGGCACCCCCATCCACCCCTCCATCCCAACGGCAAACATCCGCTCCATAGCAGACGCAGCCACAGGAACAGGGTACGCCAGACATGGGGTCATCCAGATGATAGCCACAGACTGACCACAAAATAGGATCTGGCTCATCGACGCCGCACAAACCCTCCACAACCGTCACCCGCGCCATAAACTCGCCCTCCACGGCTTCGACATCTCGCCCGTCCAGTTCCCCTTCAGCTCGTTCAAAGCCCCGCGGCATGAGATCCGGCTGACCGTGCACGATATCCTGCAGCCGTTTCCGAAGGAGCATTGGGGGCGGTATGACCTGGTGCACGTGCGGCTCCTCGTGGGCGCCATGAAGGAGGTGGATTATCCGCGGGCGGTACGGAATCTGTATGATCTTCTGAGTAAGTCTCTCCTCCCTCTCGTTCTGAAAGGCCTCAGAGGGCAAGAGAGGAATGCTGATGGACACAGAACCCGGCGGCTACCTCCAATGGGACGACTGCGACACAACCGCCTTCTGCACGGACAACCCCTCCCCCATCGACATGGAAATGCGGCAGATCATCGTCGATGCCGTCGAGAAGCTCGGTCTCTGTGCCTCCGCGCCGCAATACCTCCATCACCTCGTCGCGCAGACGGGCTTCGTGGACGCCCGGCTGTACGCCAACAGCACGGCGGACAAGCCGCATCTGCGCGCGCCCGCGCGGTCATGGCTGATGCAGGTGCTTCGGGCGCTGATGCCGCACGCGATGGTCAAGTCTGGCGAGGTGGTGGATGAGAAGAGCGCCATCGAGCGCGCAGAGCGGCTGGTCGAGGAGTTTGGGCGGCATTGTACGTCGTCGTTGCCCTTGGTGAATCTGTATGTTTTGGTGGCGAGGAAGCCGTTGCCGGTCAGGTCGTGGTGTCGTTGTACAGTCATGTAAAGATTGCCGTTGACATTGATAATGACAGTGATGATAATGATAATGAACTAATTTTTCCTATAATACCTCTGTCACAAGCAAAACATTCTATGCAGCTACCAGATTCGCTTGGCGACCATCTCGTACCGTTGCACATGGTCCATCGACGCCTCGCCCTCTTTCGCAGCCTTCTCCTTGTCCCTCTCCTCCCGCGCCTTCAACCGCCGCAGTGCCTCCGGGTCATCCACGTAGATCCACCGCCGCTTGTCGTCGTTCACCTCCACCACCCCCCACCCGCCCACGCGACTGCCCCT